TCTTATGCGGGTTGTCAACACCGAATTGAGGCAGATACCAGGTTTTGGAGTTATTTTGAGTGATGGATTTGTCCATAATTTCCTGAGCATAGTCGTTAATTAGCAGGTGAGTTATCCGTTCCTTATACCTATGTCCATAGTTACTGTCAAATTTAATTTTCCTTTCGACGCCCTTTAGCCTCATTTGAGAAGCCTTTAGCCGCATTGGAGAAGGAGTCGGGCATTTTGTTACTTTCATCGACCCAAGGTAAGCCGACTTGCCACCTGCCATTAACCAGGGTTGCAGTCCGTTCCAACTGAGTACACGCTCGAATATCATTATTATTTTGGTATGGTTGCATTGACACTCCTAACGAATCTAAATTAAAGTAACGACGTACCTCATCATGAAGTTCTGCTAATATTCGCTGTTCTGATTGAGCTGCTTCCAAGTCCTTGCTGAGATGTAAATTAATATGACAGGTCCTCTCTAGAGTCAAATGAGCAGGTACGCGCCCATGCAAACACCAACCTAGAGGAGTCAGGGTTGCACACGGTTCGTTTCTCTTACCTACAATACACTTAAAGGCAATAACAAATTACAATTATACTGGCCTATGAGTACTAAGGGTACAGAAGCGACAGTGCATAACTTATGTCTAATTTTACATAAATGTTCATATTTATTAAAATTAACACTCGATAAATTATGTTTGGGTAAACTTAGAGTATCTATACTACGTGCAGTTAAATTAAACACAGTGCCATCACAGTTAGAAATCTTAAAGTCCATAACCGTAGTTTCACACACTAGTTCACTGGAATCGAACGCGCCACTCACACGCATTGTTTGACGGCGACCGCTGAGTCCAACACGCGCAGCGAGCTCGCTGCTTATTAGCGATATCGTCGACCCATCGTCCAATAGCGCACTTGTTTTAACTATGCCGTTCGGTCCGTTAATATCAATAGGAACCACTTTTAACAATGACTTAAAACTTGTGTTGATATTTGTTACAATTTCCGAATTTTTCTCAGTCTCTGGCACATCAACAATAGGGGTTAATATGTTCCTTGCGGTTTGATTGCTATATACGGGATAGTGTAACAAGCGATGATGCGCTTGTCCGCAATTGTCCGAGTCACACGCGGGCGCCGGGCAGCTGTCCCTGTCGTGGCGCGATACTAAACATTTATAGCAGACACCGTGCCGTTTAACATACCGCCACCTGTCCTTACGTAATGACCGTTTGAATTGTTTACATTCGGGTAGTTTGTACGGAGATTGCTTGCAATATTGACAATTCACAGCTTTTTTACTTCGTTCTTTGTTTAACAACACTGTATGATGCGTACGGTCAGAGTTTTTAAACTTGTTTATACATTGGCCACAATTATAAATTAGTTCCATTGTCACTTATTATCTGCTGAATCCTTCCTCTCCTAGCTATAAATCTTCTCAAGGCAGGCATAAATGTATCAGTCGAAAGAGACTTACTCAATTCCAGATGTACACAGCGATAAACTGCAAAAGTGAACAATACCACCCAACATTTCTCTCCATTTCTAAGAATTAATGGTCCAGCCATGTCCACACCACTTACTTGAAAGGGAGCTGTGCACATTATTCTTTCATTTGGTAATGGTGCAGCGGGTGCTTGTGCTTTCTTGGCTCTGAATCTGGTACATATTGTACAAGCAGCTATTACAGACTTTGTTAAACGTCTAATACCAATTATCCAAAATCTTGTTCTAATGTCTGCCGTCAGTTGATTTGCACCTACATGCTTTAGCTCTATATGTCTTTGTTCCACCAGTCTTCTAACAATAATATTTTTTGCTGGAAGTAGTATTGGGAACTTGGTGCATTCCTGGAAATCTGAGAATAAGAGCTTTGTTTTGATTCTCGTCAGACCATCCTCATCTTTGTAAGTATTCAAAGTTCTTTTCTGTTCTGTTATATATTCCTCTTCACTGATTTGTATGAGCTTCATAATTTTCCTTTCTGCTTCTTCATATTCTTCAACAGATATTTCTCCTCTTTTCTTTGATTCTTTATGTAATGTATTATTTTTGAATCTAAGTATCCATGCCATCATTCTTACTATTTTTGTGTATTTTGAAAAGTAGTATAACCTTTCCAGGCCATTTCTTGTGCATGTAATACTGGCATTGCATGCTGTTTTAGCTTTCCGTAGCTCTTTGTGTGCTTCTGTATTTTCAACATCAACAGGAGATTTTGGCCATTCTTCTCGACTGAGTCTTAGCCATGCAGGCCCTTCCCACCAGCGAAGAGTGTGTAGTTGTTCTGCATTGCAGCCTCTCGATGCCACATCAGCCCAATTCAGAGTGCCTGGAATGTGACGCCAATTGGATGGATTACAATTTTCTCTTATTTCTTTGACTCTGTTAGAGACAAATACATTCCACGGTAGATTCCTTGTTATCCAATAAAATGCTACACTTGAGTCTGTCCAGCAATATTCCTGTATTCCTTCTATACCCAGACTTTTCTTAGCTTCATTTAATAATCTAGAACCTATGAGTGCAGCCATTAACTCAAGTCTAGGTATTGATGCTTTTTCAGGTGGGGCGACTCTTGATTTGGCTGAAAACATCTGAACACTCACTTTTACTATCTGCTTCAGATCGCAGCAATACACATGTGCCATAGGCATTTTTTTGCTAGCATCACAAAACATGTGAAGACTTAGTTTACATTTTGCCATGAAGTTTTCAGTCAAACATCGTGGGATCCTACATTGCTCTAAGCATGAAATGTGTTGAAACCATTTATCAAATTCTCCCATCAGGTCAACAGGAAGTACTTCATCCCACCCGAGGGCACGTCGCCATGTCTCTTGCATCAGTAATCTAGGTGTCAGAGTTGCTGGGCTTGTGAAACCTATAGGATCAAATATCCTTTGGATGATAGACATTAATTCCTTTTTGGTTATTTTATCAATTCTAGCAGGAAGATTGTTTAGATTACACCAAAGTTTATCCGATTTTGTGTCCCATAACAGTCTGTTATGAACGCAACCGTTCATACCCAGGAATGGAACGTGTTCACCGGAAACAGCCGAGGCAACATTATACGGGGCAGAGAGATGACTGGGACTTTTTAAAATTGTAACGGACTACTCACTCCTTTCCTTTTTATCGTACATAAAGATTTTGTAGCAAAGGACTTTTTTATCATTTACTGGCGCCTACATACATCTTCTAAACACCTGAGAAGAAACAACTGGTCCTTCGAGAGAAAGAAAAAAGAAGATAGAAAAGTTCTAGGAACTACGATTTCCAGAAGCAATCGTCTTCGTCAACGGTCTTCAAGCCATCAAAATCAACATAATCTTCAAATAACAAATAGAGTGAGTCCGTTCCTTTATTTATCATTCCCTTATACCAAAAACCCCCTTCGTCCATTAAATTTCCCTATTCGCGCCGTGCGCGTAGCTAATTTCTGCATAATTCATTATCATATCCATAAGCATACGTAAAGAATAACATAACACAGCTGTGCGGGCTATCATTCGTACAAAAACCGGTTTGGCGACGTGCATAAGTCTCATACCCGCGTGCCACGAGCTATCAGTCTGTGTTGCGTCATTACTCAATACCGTGCATTTTGTTTATCTTTCGTTAAAATCCGTATACATTGTGTAAAGTATTATTAAGATCCGTGTAAAGTACGTATTACTAACATTAAAATGAGTGAAAATAAGTTAAGAGATCTAATCAAAAAACGGGCATCAATAAAATCAAAGGTAACACAATTTTCACAGTATCTAAATTTGTTAAAAGGTTGTGATAATTTAAGTGTCCAACAAATTAAAGAATTGGAGTGTCGTTTTAAGAGAATTGAGGTACTTTATAGTGATTACGATATATTACAGACAGAGATTGAAACCTTAACGGAGCCGCCAGAAACAGCCTACTCGGATCGCGAGGCGTTTGATAGTATATACTACAGACTCGTGTCTGAAGCTTCATTGTTGCTTAACCCACAACCCAGTGTTCATCAACGGCTGTCATCTGTGGCCAGTGATGATACAACATCCAGCGAGTTGATGGGCGGCGGGTGCAGACATGATTTCGTCAGACTTCCCAAGATCGATTTACCCCGGTTCGACGGCGATTATCAGGACTGGCTGGAGTTTAGAGATACGTATCTTTATCTTATTCATAACAATAACTCCATTAGCGACATAAATAAGTTTCACTATCTCCGCGCAGCGCTAAAGGGTACTGCTGCGTTATCAATTAAATCTCTGGATTTTACTGCTAGTAATTAAAAACAAGGTTGGCAACTTCTGACTGAAAGATATGACAATGTACGTCTTTTGGTTAACCACCACATTCAGGCTTTATTTAATTTAGAACCGATTCAAAAAGAATATAGTTCCTTATTGCGTAATATGATAGATGTAATAAATAAAAACTTACGTGCCCTTGCAACATTAGGACAGCCTACCGACCATTGGGATACATTGATCATATTTATTATGTCTAAAAAATTAGATCCTATTTCAAGTCGTCAATGGGAGGAATATAAGAATGGCCTTGGTGGAATACCAGATCTTCAACAATTTATAAAATTTTGCAATAATAGAGCAGACTTACTAGAGACACTACAAGATAACAATAAATATAAACATAAGACAAATTTCATAACATCATCAGACACACAAAAAATTAAAAGTCATACAATTGTCACAGATCATAAACCATACAAATGCCCGTTTTGTTCTCAGGCTCATTTCATTTTTAGCTGTGAAACATTCAGAAAATTAGATGTTGAGTCAAGGATAAAAAGGGTCAATGAACTACACTTATGTAAAAACTGCCTCCGTCCAGGGCATTCACATAAACAGTGTAAATTAACACATTGTAAATATTGTCAATACAAACACAACACCTTGTTACATATTGAACCCGCGAAAGAAGGTACAGTAGCATTAACTGTGGGCACATCTTCCGTACAACATATTCAGCCTATCATATTGCTATCCACAGCTATGGTGCGAGTCCAGGATGTGCATGGTAAGCTGCACGCAGCAAGGGTGCTTCTAGACAATGGAAGTACATCGAATTTTGTGACCCAGCGGCTCAGCGAGAGACTTGGTTTGGTAAGGAGGCTAGCTGGTTCAACGGTAAACGGTATTAATAATCAGTTTTCTTTCACATCAGAGTCTTGTGATTTAGTAATAGAATCTTACTGTGGCGGTTTTAGGGAAAAAAATTAGTTGCTATATACTTCCTGAAATAACAAAACATTTGCCTTCTTCTTACATAGATACAAAATCATTGCCTATGCCCAAAAATATACAGTTAGCAGATCCTTCCTACAACGTACCTTCGAAAATCGATTTACTAGTGGGTGCTGAGGTCTTTTGGAACGTCCTAGGTTCAAACATAATCGACCTAGGTAAACACCAGCCTAAGCTACGTGATTCGAAACTGGGATGGCTCTTATCGGGTTGTCTTCTTAATAACAACACAAAATGTAAAAATGAAATATCGACAAATTTTTGCCATTTCATGGGTAGTAATGCTGAGACATTACTTGCCCGTTCTTCTGGGAACTCGAAACGGTAGAATCACATAATAACATGTCTATGGAAGAAAGGACATGTGAAAAAATTTTTGAGACCACCACACGGCGCGACAAAGAAGGTCGGTTTGTGGTAACCATACCACTAAAAGAATCGCCCGCTATTCTTGGGGATTCATACAACCTAGCTAAAATGCGCTTCCTCTCATTAGAAAAGCGACTAGACAAAAATCAAAATTTTAAAAAATTATATTTGCAATTTATTCAAGAATATATAGATTTAGGTCATATGACACTTAATCAACACACTAGTCAACACACGTGTACCTCGCCAAATATTTTTTTACCGCATCATGGTGTTATGCGTGAATCAAACACAACCAAACTACGCGTAGTCTTTGATGCTTCCGCCATGACTGCGTCTAAAAAATCATTTAATGACATTCAAATGGTAGGGCCCACTGTACAAGATGACATTTTTTCAATCTTACTACGTTTCAGGCAACATAAAATAGTAGTTTCAGCCGATATCGAAAAAATGTACAGGGCCATTCACGTGGAACCCTCACAGAGGTCTCTACAACAAATTATTTTCCGTTTTCATCGCTCTCAACCCTTACAGACCTATACATTGAATACGGTTACATACGGTACTGCATCTGCGCCTTATTTGGCAACCAAGTGTTTGGTGTCACTTGCCGATCAAACCAACGACAAGGCAGTACAAAGAGCCATTAAACACGACTTTTATGTAGACGATTATCTTGGAGGCGGTGAATCGCTAGATTTGGTAATTTCCCTGTGTAAAGGAATTAGGGACACTTTAAGTTCTGCAAAAATGAATTTACATAAATGGCAGTCTAATAGTCTTGAAGTGTTACAAGCTGTCACTGACTTGAAAGTTGACTCAGATAATCAATTTAATTTAACAAAGTTGAATAAAAGTTCACCCTCAAAAACATTAGGCCTCAACTGGGATTCTGTTAATGATAATTTACACTTTTTAATCAATCTTGATTTAAATAAAAAGGTAACAAAACGTAATATAATTTCGATTATTAGTCAAGTATTTGATCCTTTGGGTCTCGTGGGTCCATGCATTGTATTAGCTAAACTTATATTCCAAACATTATGGATTCGTAAATGTGAATGGGACGCTGATGTACCTGCAGATATAAGAAAAGATTTTTTAGACATTGCAAATTCTCTTCACCTTTTAAATTCAATAAAAATACCGAGGTGGGTGTCATGTAGTGATCCATTAACAATTGAAGTACATGTTTTTTCAGATGCGTCTGAAAGGGCTTACGGCGGTTGTATCTATGTAAGAACGGTCGACGTAAATGGGTCTGTAAGTGTCAGACTTTTAGCCTCCAAAAATAAGATAGCACCTGTTAAGCCTAGGTACACTATACCACGTCTAGAGCTGTCCGCCGCTTTGCTAGCCACAAGACTTTGGAAGAAGGTGATTAATGCACTTTCCATAAAATTTCATCGTCATTATTTCTGGTCTGATTCTACTATAGTATTAGCCTGGTTATCCAACCCTTCTACTCAACTAATACCGTTTATCCGGAACCGAGTTAGTGAGATACAGGAAAGTACAAATGAACACACATGGAATTATGTACCGTCCAAATCTAATCCTGCAGACCTGGTCTCTCGCGGGGTGAAGGCTGACTCCATCAGCACGGCTTCCTTGTGGTGGTCTGGACCAGAATTTTTACACGAAAAATGCATACAGTTTCCAAAAACACACAACATATCAGACAGTTCCTCGTATATACTCACAACAATATCAACAGAAAACAATGATCAAAATAGAATCCTAAATCTTATACATAAACATAGTAATTTTAATAAAATAATTAGAATTTTAGCATACGTAAAACGATTCATTTATAATTGTAAACATAAAGACAAAATATATACAATGCTTAAATTTCGTGAATTAGAATCTTCTCGCATAATCATTCTACATCATGCTCAAAGGGAAATGTTTAGTGCAGACTATTCTGCATTAAAACATAATAAATTGTTACATACAAATAGTAAATTGAAATCGTTATCACCTTTTTTAGACTCTGAAAATCTTATAAGAGTCGGTGGCCGCTTAAAAAATTCATTTTATGCGTACGATATCAAACATCCTATACTTCTATGCTCCAAACATCATCTCACCAAAATGTTATTCAGCTTACAACATAAAATACTTATGCATGGAGGTCCCCAGCTCCTATTGTCTAGTATACGACAAAAGTATTGGCCTTTAAATGGAAGGAACTTATCTAGAAAAATTGTCCATTCTTGTATTCGTTGTCATAGGCTTAAAGCCACTTCTGTCCAACCTATCATGAGTGATTTGCCGCGTGAAAGAACGCAACTAGAATACCCATTTCTTACAACAGGTATCGACTATGCTGGGCCAGTACTCATACTTGACCGTAAGGGCAGAGGGGGACGTCTGACAAAATCTTATATTTGCGTATTTATATGTTTCGCAGTAAAGGCGGTGCACCTTGAGCTTGTCACGGATCTCAGCAAGGAGGCCTTTTTGGCGGCTCTAAACCGATTCATATCTCGTCGGGGGAAGCCTGCCACGATATACTCAGACAACGCCACTACATTTGTCGGGGCAGGCAATGATCTTGCTCGATTTCTTAACACATGCGAAGAGTATGTGCAATCTCAATTATTCAATCAAGGCATAAAATTCAAAACCATCCTAGCGTACAGTCCCCACTTTGGCGGTATATGGGAAGCCGCAGTAAAATCAGTAAAGCATCACCTACATAGAGTTCTCTCTTTAACTCATTTCAATTATGAGGAGATGGCTACGTGTCTGGCGCAAATAGAGGCAATTTTGAACTCACGTCCTCTCACACCTTTATCGACAGATCCATCTGACCTATCATTCCTTTCCCCATCGCACTTCCTTATCGGACGGCATCGCACTTCCTTATCCTTATCCTCTATTGGCTGCACCGCATGCAAACTTAATGGAGACAAAACTGAACCGGCTTCAAAGATATCAGAGGATCGAAGCTCTCCGACAACATTTTTGGCAGCGTTATTCAAATGAGTACATTTCTCATCTGCAGACAAAAAACCAAGTGGACTCAATCTACAGGCCAGCTGCAAGTTGGGTCATTGGTCTTGGTTAGAGACCGCAACCAACCTCCTCTTCTTTGCTCATGGGTCGAGTCACTAGAATCTTCAACGACGGCGATTCTGTTGGCAGGGGGGCCGAACTGCGCACCAGAGAGGGCACGATCGTGCGAGCCTACAACAACAAACATCTGCCCTCTCCCTACTACCTGTTAACACCTTCAGCCCGGGCGGGAGCATGTTATGAACGCAACCGTTCATACCCAGGAATGGA